GAACGTAGTGGGGGGGGGGGGGGGGGGGGCAGGCGCGTGACCTGACTTTGAGCGAACGGAACAAATTGGCGTGGCGGGGTGATCGGGTGGGTGGGGTGATCGGGGTGGATGGGTGGGTGGATGGGTAGGGTGATCGGGTGGGTGGATGGGTAGGGTGGTCGGGGGTGAATGGGGTGATCGGGGTGATCGGGGTGATCGGAGGTGATCGGGGGTGATTAGGGGGTGTTCGGGGGTGATCAAAGTGAATGGAAAGGCGGATGAGGTGGGGGTTTACTCTTCAGAGCCACTGGCTGGTTGGTCACGGTTGAGCCAAACGTCATCGCTGTAGTCAGATCGAGTGAGACCAAGTCGACGAGGTCCGGCAGGGACGATTTCCGACCCGGTGCGGCCAAAGTAGCCGTTGCGCGCGTGATCAAGATTGGAGGCAGCAGCAACGCCCGGAAAGGCGAGCATGCGATCGCGCCAGGCAGCGAGGTTGGGGTAGGCAGCAAGCTTGTTCTTGTTGAGCTTGAAGCGGGAAAAGTACACGTCGTCGTGCCGGAAGATGGGCGGGAAGAGCTTGAGATCGGCCTCGGTCGGATGCGGTGTACCGGCGAGCCACTCGCGATCGGCGAGGATCACGCCATCAAGATACTCGAGCGCACGAAAGTAGCGATCGTAGGCCCGGTCGTAGGCAGCTTGCGATGAAGCAAAGCCGGCCTTGTATGCCCCGTTGGCCACGCGCTGATAGACAAGTAGGTTGAGTCGGTCGATCTCGTCGGCGGCGTCGGCGGGATAAAGGTCGATGCTGTTGGTAGCGAGATCGGCAAACGACGAGTTGAAGATGCGCACAATGTCAGCAGACTCGTTGTTGACGATCTGCTTGGTCTTGGTATCCCAGAGAACAGGCACCGAGCGCTCGTCCGAGTTGGACGCCGCGTATAGCTCGGTAATCTTGGCGATGCCCTCGTACACGTCGGCGGTGCAGCCAGGCACGGCCGGGTTGATCTGCCACCGACTGTCGGCATCACGGCGAAAGTAGACAACGACAAGGCCGATGGCGTCATCCAGACCCTTGATGGCACGGGCAAGGAGTGTGCGGTGCGACCATGGGCAGTTGAACGGGGCGTAGAGTACGTATCGCTGATCACCCGCTACGGGATAGTCGTCGTCGGGCCCGATCCACGCCCGCAGCTCCGAAAGGCCGCGAACCCACTCGCCGCGGCCACGATCAGCGTCCTGGTCCTCGTTGACAGCATCGTCAGCCGACACAGCGTCAAAGGCAAAGTCGCGAAAGTGCGGCCCATGGAGATCGGGCTCGCCGCCGCGCGGCACGATGCCGTGCGGGTTGAGATCGGGCTCGCCGGTGTAGTGGAAGGTCTTGATGACGGCGAGCGGAGGCGTGTCGGTGTAAAACGCCGGGCGCTCGAACAGATCTTGCACAAAGCCTTCGATGTGAGGGTAGTCTTGTAGAAGGCCGAACGAGACCTTGTACAGCTCGTAGTACACAAGATCAAGCCGGAGGGCGACGACGAAGAGGAGGACGTCGGCAAAGTCGGGCGCGTCGCCGCCGGAGAGGAACCGCTGCGAGGCCAACACAGTCTCACAAGCGTCCCAGTCGGCGGACATCTTGGCAAACGCCTCTTCATACTTGCGCTGGTTGTTTGCCTGCCGCAGCTCGTAGATCGGGATGAGGAGGCGGGCGTAGATGCCGGCAGCTACCTTGGACGCGACGGCGAGCTGGCCACCAGCAGCATCGTCGATGGCAGTACAGATGGAGAGCGGATCGTCACAAGCGACCCTGTCGTGGACAATGAGCACTGCTGGCGGAAGCCCATCAGCGAACGAGGATGACGTCGCCGGGCTACTCTCGGTCGTCAGCGCATCAAGGCCAGCGAGGCGCGCGGCGATCGCTGCCGCGTGGCCGAGCGGATGGGCTGGCCGGACGTGAAGAGCGACTTCGCCGAGGGATTCTTCGCCCAGATTGGGTGCGGATGGAAACGATGGTGTGTGTAGCATGTCTAATGGGGAAAGGGACGAATGTGGTGCGGGATGAGGTTACGGGTGCCCATTTTGACGTGGTGTCGCATGGTGACGTTCGATGACGTCAACGGGCTGACGTGCGGCAGAGACACATGGCAAGTGAGATCATGGCCATTGGGCTTAACTCGCGATTACAGGACATGTGGTATCCTCTGATGGTGTGCTGGAGTGTAGCCACGTCATGTTGGTGCAGCCGATTATCGTGGATGTGATCACCGTGGTCAGATGGCGCGCTGTGTGACCCACGATGGCGAACCAACCACACCCCCGCGACGCGATGAACACAACTATTGTCACAGCTGGTGATGTAGTATTGAGAATGTCCACGACTTGCAAGGCTGCGATGCTGTGCGATGCGATGCGCAGGTAAGCGATCGACGATAACAAGCCACCCGGCGCCCCGATCTGGACAAACAACCCTTCCACACACCAATGGCGAGCATGATCACGTCCATTGGCGCGGAAAACAATGTAGCAGTCAGTCTGACCGCGATTCTTCCTTTGCGATAGACACCCCGGCGCCAGCCATGACCGCTCATAAACCGCTCCCGATCGACTTCCAAACTCGACAGAACGTCAAGCAACGGCCAAACAAGCCCCACACATCCATGACGACCACTATTTCACCCCGCCGTCACCCGAGTGCGCGTTTGCCCCCCCCCCCTCCCCTGATCGGACACCAGCGCAACAGCCGCGGGCGGCCAGTGAGTGCACCAGTGTGAGCGATCCTGTGTGAGCGTAGCCACCATTCGATTCGTGCGGCATTGTCAGGTTTGCAGGAATTGGGCGAACGGGCGGCAGGCAGCGAGAGCCACCGCGACAGCGACAGCCGCAGCCAGAGGGAGAGGACGACAGGGCCACACACGCCACTGCAGAACCAGGGGCAGAGCAAAGGCAACGCGGGGACAGACAGTGAGCCAGCGGAGGTGGATGTCGTCTTCAGGGGCTGGTGCGGGTGCGGGTGCGGGTGCTGGGGCTGGGGCTGTGGCTGGGGCTGGGGCTGGAGCAGGGGCTGGGTTGGTCGGAGTGGCACTCGGTGGCGGTGGTGGTGGTGGTGGTGGTGGTGGTGGTGATGGGACGACAGGGAAGGGTATGGGCGAGCTGCCGATGCCTGCGGGAGTTCATGGACTGTCGGCCAAGGAACAGATGATGAAGAAGGTTGCGCTGGTGGTGCTTGTCTTTCAGAACTCGACTCAGTTGCTGCTGATGAACTACTCGAGGACGCTCAAGGGGCCATCGTACATCTCGTCGACGGTGGTGGTCTGTGTGGAGGTTGTCAAGCTCATCTGCTCCTTTGCTCTCCTCTCGCATGAGCATGGTTGGGATTGGAGTGCTGCAAAGATCGAGCTCTCCTCCCAGCTGGCCGATCCTTGGGATACTTTCAAGGTCGGCGTCCCAGCCTTTATCTACATGGTGCAGAACAACTTGCTGTTTGTGGCCACGTCGAATCTGGACGCTGCCACCACCCAGCTGACGTACCAGCTCAAGCTGATGACGACAGCGCTGTTCTCAGTCTTTATCCTCGGCAAGCAGCTTTCGAACCAGCAGTGGCTCGCCCTGGTAGTCCTCACCGCCGGCGTCACGCTCGTCCAGCTTGGGATCCGCCCGCCGGGCGAGGGCGAGGCCCACTCGTCGTCGGTCCACTACGGCTCACAGCTGACGGGCTTTCTGGCGGTACTCTCAGCGTGCCTGCTCTCGGGCTTTGCCGCCGTGTACTTTGAGAAGATTCTCAAGGGCTCCAAGGTCTCGGTCTGGATCCGTAACATCCAGCTCGGAGCCATCGGCTCTGTCCTTGCCCTCGCTGGGGCGTATGTGTCTGACGGAGCGGCCATTGCCGAGTACGGCTTCTTCCGCGGCTACGGTGCGATTGTAGTGCTCATCATCATGGTCTACGCGCTTGGCGGGCTGACTGTGGCCGTGGTGGTCAAGTACGCCGACAACATTCTCAAGGGCTTTGCCACCTCGTTCTCGGTCATTGTCTGTGCTCTCTTTTCGATCGTCTTTCTGGGTATGCAGCCGTCGCTTGTCTTTGCCGTTGGCGCAGCGTTGGTCATGGCCTCGGTCTCGCTCTACAACTCGTCGCGTGACTACTTTGGCCTCAACGGCGTCCGTCCATAAATGCACGATTCCACCAAGCATCTGCCGTCCAAATCACTTGTCGCACCAGCCACCATCACCATCACCAACACGATCCGCCACTCGCCATCCTCCCTCGCCTGCCCACCGCTATACCCTCCCATCATCATCACCACCATCATCACGATCACCGCCACCACCCAACGCCTGCCCACCCCCACACCCTCCCATCATCATCACCACCATCATCACGATCACCGCCACCACCCACCGTCCGCCACTACCACCCGCCCGCCGCCCGCCGCCACTCGCCATCCTCCCTCGCCTGCCCACACCCATACCCTCCCACCATCATCACGATCACCGCCACCACCCACCGTCCGCCACTGCCACCCGCCCACCGCCCGCCGCCACTCGCCGAGCCAAACACCGCCTGCCCACCCCCACCCCCCACCACCCAACCCCCCCCACACCCCCACACCCACCCACCTTCACCACCCACCCACCCATACGCACGCCATGCAAGCTTCCCCACCCCGGACTGCCGGTGAGGCAAGGGACGAGCAAGTGGCGGCAGCAGCAGCGGCAGAAGCAGTGGCGACGGGCGGGCGGAGGGCAACGGCCGAGGAGGAGGGCGGGGGGACGGAGCTGCCCGGGGGCGTGACGCCCAACGCGCCTCCGTTGGAGCAGGTCTTTGCCCTCCTCACCTCGCGACACTCGAGCGGACTTGCGCTTCGTCATGCGGCTGCTCTGGCCAAAGTGGCGAGTGCCAATGCTGCTGCCGGCGGCTTTCATCTGAGGGATCTGCCGCGGCTGGTGCCTGTCTTCGAAGCCGCCGTCACCAACGCCGCCAACGCTTCCGATGCCAGGCCCTATGCCGCTCCTCTGAGGGATCTTCTGGCTCTGGCTGCTCGCCCGCTGAGAGCTGCTGGCGCGTCAGACGAACTCATTCTGTTTGATCATGTCGTGGCTCTGGTCGCCTTTCTGGCCCATGCTGCCAGCGCCGTCTTTGTCCCTGATGCCGCGGCGGCGGCTGCCACGGCTCTCGCCGCCTATGATGCCGCAGGGAGGCGCGAGGACGGTGAGCCGCTACGCTATAATCAGCATGCTGTCTCTATATCTGGCTGCATCCCGCTCCTGGTCCAGGCTCTGGGCCGCGCCATGGAGGCCGGCGACGGCGCCGTAGAGACCGTCGACGCCATCGTGGACGCTCTGCTCTCGCTCTCGTGCTCGCTCCCGTCGCACTGCGCCCAGATTGCCGATGCTGGTGGAATTGCACTTGCCGCGCGACTGTTTGCCGGCTGCGCGCGCGCCCCGGCAAGGTTGGAGGTCCTGGTCGAGCTGGTGTGGAACGTGCTCGAGGCCGTGCCCGAGGCCCACGCCCAGATGGACTCTGTCGAGGTTCTGGCCGACATCCGCGGCGTCTTTGCCTCGCTCCTCCTTCACTCGCGTAAGCGCAACGACCGCCATCTCCGCAATGAGGTCCTCATCCTCGCCACACTTCTCGCCAACTCGGGCTATGTTGACCCGAACGCCTTTGTGGCCGCAGGCTTTACCACCCTCCTCCTCGAGCTGGCTTGCGCCCGCGAGACGGCACGCGTCCCGGCATCACTCCCGCAGCTCCCGCTGACGGCTCTTGGCTGCACCGAAGAGGACTTTGAGATGAAGAAGCTGCTGTGGAACCTGGTGCTCTCGACAACGACCACCCCCGACGGTGTGGCGGCGCTCATCAGCGCCTCCTTTGTCCGTGTTCTCCTCATGTACCTTGATCCGGGTGCAGAGCGTGGGACGCTGCTCCAGTGGACGCTTCACCAGCACCGCGAGCTGCAGGTCCTCGCCACCTCGCTGCTCTTCCACCTCGCGGCCGAGGTTCCGGCCGAGTTTGCCGCCGGCAACGGTCCGTCGCTTGTCATCGACGCCTTTGTGCAGCACCTTGATGAACCTCCGCCAGCGGCGCTGCGCTCCGGTCTGAGCAAGCTCGTCCTCAACACTGCGGCCCTGTTTGCGACGCAGTACGGCGAGCTCGGCCTTGTTGCTGTCCTCCTCTCCATTCTCAAGGACGCGACGCTCGAGGTCAAGCTGCGGCGCGATGCGGCACTCACGCTCTCGGTCCTCACCGCCGAAAACGCAGCGAACCAGGCCGAGTTTCTCCTCGAAGGCGGCATCGACGCCGTCATCGCACTCCTCAACTTTGACATGAGCGACCCTGAGCGCGAGCCCACCATTGTTCTCGCAGCCATCGACTGCATCTGGTCCGCAGTGGTGGGCATCATCGAGTCCGAGACACAGTTCTTGCGGGCCGATGGCGTCTTTGCCCTCCTCGACCTGCTTGACACGCCGAAGCTGCCGGCCGAGATCACCAACCATGGCCTCGGTGTTATCCTCGACCTGCTCGACCATCCTTACACGGTGGCGTATGTGCGGAGGTGGCGGTCCGGCCGCGACGCTGAGCGCTCAGTGGCCCATCTCTTGCTCGAGGCCTGGGAGACGTCGCAGGCCGAGCTGGGCGTGGCGCTCGACAGGCACGGGGTCATCGGCAACGTGGATACCCCACTGGCGCCTGTGGCCGTGAGCGATGACGATGAAGGCGAGGGTGGAGCGCCTGCCTTTGCCGCGGTGGCACAGTACGGGCGGACTGCGGCCTTTGTGCTCGAGCTCGAGGCGGCCGCGGCGGCCGAGGCAGACGGCGACGGCGGCGACGGCGACGAGGTCTCGCCGGCGATTGCCGACGTGCGAGCCAACATGCGGGCCAAAGTCTTTGCCCTCTTTTGCAAGCTCGGGTTTCAGGGCCACACTGGGCTCAGCTGCCGGCACAAGACGGCACTTCGGCTCATTCTGGAGTACTTTAAGTACAAGGTCGGCGAGGTGTGGACCGAGATCGACGCCGAGCTCGAGGCTGAGGAGGTGCGGCCCATTTCGCCAGACCTCACCCGGCTCGGGACCATGCACGAATACATCCAGCAGTCAGCGGTGAACCTGCAGACCGAGCAGCGCGCCGTCGTGGCGCGTGAGCAGGAGCGCGAGCTCAAGGCCGAGGCCGACATGTACCACATGATCATGGAAAAGAGTCGGCTGATGCGCGAGGCGGCGGCGGCCGATGCCGCCGCCGCTTCGGACTCGACCACCGCTCACGACCCCGTCCACCCTGCCCATGTCGCCGGGCCGGGGGCGACGCTATCGCCGCGACACGCAATGCGTCCGCGATGAAATTCGTTTAAAGGAAACAACTGCCTGCTCTCGTTGTCAAGGACGCGACGACTTGATGCGCTTGGCAGGACGAGACGGAGAGCCAGCGGCAGCGCGGAGCCGCTTGAGCCGGTTCTTGGCGGTGGCGATGACAGAGGCAAGCGAGTCGACCGAGGCCCACCGCGGCTTGTCGAGCAGATTCCAATTCGCATCATACACCTTGAATCGGTACTGCGGCGGACGGTTCGGGCGAGGGCGGACGCCTGCATTCGCATCGAGGGTGAGCTTGAGCGACATATCGCCTGGTACGTCTAGATCAAGCGAAGAAAGGGAGGCTGGATCAGGGAGGAGCTTGAGTTGAGCGTCGAGCTGCGAGTGGAGCGCCGAGCCGGCATCAACAGCGTACGCGATAGCCGCGTCGCGTACAAGGCAGTATGCCACGTAGCGGGTCTCATGCGGAGTAGCCCAGCCACACCACAGCGCGCGGCCGCCCATCTGCGACAACACAACATGCACGTAAGCTGCCTCGCGAACAACAGGATGCATGCCCGAGGCCACGGTGAGACTGGTAGTCAGCGGCAGGCCGTAGAGCCAGTAGTTGTCGAGGGAAAAGTCGACCGAGTCTGGAACGGGCGCGCGGGAAGCCTCGGGCAGGATGCGGACTTGATCCGTCCGCCGCTTGCGGACATCGACGTGGCGCGGATCCTCGAGGGGAAGCGGTTCGTTGAAGGGCGCAGCAAAGGCGCTGCAGGTGGAAGCAACGGAAGGAACATACTTACTGTGGACGTTGTCGTCCTGGCAAGCGGCGGCCACGCGCGGAAGCAGCTCATCAGGGCCGAACCAGCCGTCGGCGATGGGAACGTTCCCAGCCTTGATGTACCAGTAGAGGACTGGGACTGGGTCGAGGGCGCGGAAGCCACGCTCACGATCGACAACCGCATGGATAGGATTGCTAAACATGTGGTACCCGTTGAACACAACGGTAGTGTCCGGCGGAACAAGCGCCCAGCTCCCCGCCTGTGGAGGCGGACCAGCCGGACCGATCACTGCCAGCGGCTGCGGACACAATGCGGCGGCTGATGAAGCGGGCGGCGAGGGAGCAGCAGCAGGCGACGAGGTGGAAGCGAGCCAGACAGTGTCGATGTCGGCGAGGGAGATCTCTGCCCGGGAGAGGGCGACGGCGATGGACTCGATCTCTGCCGGGCCGAACCAGCCGGTGACGACGGTGCGCCACTTGCCCTTGCCTACGCTCCGCTTGAGCGCCATGTGATACAGGCCCGGAATGGTCGGGTGCTCGCCCTTGGTCCGTGTCGGCGCCACCATCAGCGGATGGCCCTTGAAGCGCAGGGCGGAGAGGTCCGGCCGGGCGACAGAAGGTACCAACGCCGTGGTCTTCGGCCGCCCGGCCAGGGCGTACGCCCCTCTCCGCCGTCCTCCATCTGCAATGGGGCTCAGTGCCGGATGCATGCCAGGGGAGAGGGGTGGGCGGAGAGACGGTGAGGGAGAGGGGGGGGGGAAGGGGGGGGCGACGCTGACTTGAGTAGCGCGGGCTTGGCAGGTGGCATCGACTCGGCGGGCGAGTGGGGCGGCACCGACTCGGCCGGCGAGTGGGGCGGCACCGACTCGGCCGGCGAGTGGGGCGGCACCGACTCGGCGGGCGGCGGGCAGAGGCGGCCGACTGGACGACTCCACTCCACTCAGCAGGCCAGGCAGAGCAGGAGATGAAGCGCCGACGCGGGAACCCGCTTGCAGCAGGCCTCGAGTCAGACGACGACGACGGGACGAGCGCCAAGCGGGCACGCGGGCTGGTGGCGGGCGGGCAGGGCGGCGGCCCCGAGCCCGTCGCCAATGGGCATGGCCTGGACGAGGACGACGGAGCGGTGGTGGCGGCGGCGGCGGCGGCGGCCGAGGCGGCGGTCAAGGTCGAGCAGGCCCGCGCTGCCTACATGGTTGCTGACGAGGCTGAGGAGCTGGCCCGTGCCCAGCGGGCGGCGCGGGCGGCGCGGATCGCCCGCGCCGAGGGCTTGGACGACCGCGGCGTGCCGACTGCCCGCCCAGCTGCCGGCCCGGCGAGCGGAAGCGGGAGCGATGACGATGACGGCGACGAGGTCGATGATGGCGCCGCCGCCGGTGACGAGGACTCGGATGATGGTCTCTTTGGCGACATTCGCGAGGACGGTTCATCCGGCGCCGCCGCCGCTGCAGTTGCTGCTCGGCGCCGCGCGAGAGAGCGCGTCCGCCGCGAGCTGGGGGCCGCCGAAGAGGATGGGCCTGAGGCTGAGATGACCGAGGACGGCGTCCGGCTGGAGCCGTTCAACGTCCGCGACGAGATGCGCGAGGGCTACTTTGACGAGGCCGGGAACTACCACGCGCTCGCGGACGACGACGCCAGCGAGGACGATGTCGAGGGCCTCGGCGGGCGCGACGGATGGCTGGCCGAGGTCGACGAGGCCGTGCCAGTCTCTGCTGCCGCCCCACGCGTCTCATCGACTGCAGCATTTGACAACGAGCCGGCAGAAAGCCTGACCCGGGGCGGGGTCCGGGCTATGCGATCCGAGCTCCTCGCTCTACTGCAGCCTGGAGAAACGGCGGTCGCGGCGCTCAACCGGACCAAGGCCGCGGGCGACCGCTCGAGCTTTGACGCCATCACCGAACTCACCTCAAACCTGCTCGAGTCGGCGGGCGATCACTCGATCTTTACCAAGCGTCGTGAAGACGTCGAGGCCGATGTGGCGGCGATGGACGCGGCCAGCTCCAGAACGGTCGCAAGCGAAGCGAGCGGGCCGTCAGCGACGTGCATGTGGGAATATGCCATTCTCAAGGAGCCGCAAGAGGTGTACGGTCCATTTCCGACCGCCAAGATCCGCGAGTGGCTTCCGTTCTTTGGCGAATCGCCGTATCCTATCAAGGTGCGGCTTGTCGACGGCCCGGGCGCGTCCAAGAACCCGCAATGGATTTCGTACTCGCTGGTCAACTTTGACCGCATGCGGTGAGCGACGGCGGAGTTTAAGCTTCAGCGGCGGACGTACGGCCGGTGCTGCCGGGCGTACCGCGAGAGCGCGGCCGTTGTCTGCGGCCGCCGAAACGGCGGTAGCCGCGCCACCGTGTCTGGCGTGGTTGGAAACGCCTGCCGCGAGCGCTGGACAGATCGTGGCGGCGAGCGATGCTGGTGGAAAGCGGCAGCAATCGGCATGGGGCCCGGGAGCGGACGCTGCCGCCGTTTGGGTGGTGACGGACCGGCGGCCACTACTGTGCCCGATCCGCTACTGCTGCCGCCGGCCCTGCCACTAAAGTCAAAGTCGCGGAGATGCGAGCGAGGGTGTGAGACCCGCGACGGGAGGTGGGTCCGCTCCTGCTGGGGCTCGTGGTGACGACGACGCGACGACGCGCGCGAGGCCGGCACACCAAGCTCAGCCTCGAGCGCGGCGATGCGGCTGGTAGCGGTGCGGGCGGCAGCCTCGAGCGCCGCATTCTTCTCTTTGTACTTGTCGATGAGCGAGGTGGCACGTGATGCCGCGCGATGCGCCCGCTGCGCGACGGCGGCGTGGTCGGCGTAGCGCGAGGCAAGGACGAGAGCCTGCCGAAGCTGGAACTTGAAGTTGGTCACAGCCTGCTCGAGCAGCGGGAGCGGCGGCGCAAAGAGCTCGGCAACTGACGGCGGGCGAGATGCCGGCGGATCAGACGACGAGAGCCGACAGAAGACGGTACGCGTTCCGCATGCGGGGCATGGGCCGGTCGCCGAGCGGGTGGCGGCGTCGGTCATGCACCCGGCACATGCCAGGTGCTTGCACCGGGAGATGAAGAAGGGTGACTGGAAAAGGTCGTGAAAAGGGGAGGGGGGGGGGGGCGGGG